TCGGAGGTCATTGTCTGACCTACAATATTTCTCAAACTCTGTATACAATTCCTGTATAGTGCTTGGCTTTTCTCGAGCTAGATGAGCCGCGAAGGCTCCGATGCGGAGGCCCTTGACTGCGGCCTCAATTGCCACATCCTCTGGGACATTTGGTGCCTTCGCTTTAAGCTGCATAAACCTCTAAAAATAATCTCTTAGCGCTTCACCTTGATTCTGTCTGCACTGAAATAAGTCCATTGATGTCAGAGATTCGATGGTGAACCCTTTGAAGTTAGCGATGATCTTATCTCGGAGGTCTTCCCATAAATATACCGAGCTTGGCCTCAACATTGAGTACCATGCCAATGCGTCTCCTTCAGCTGCGATAACAAATGACTTGGCCAAGACAGTGTCATTCCCTCCTGCGGATGCTACGACTGCTTCGATACTCATGATGAACTCGCGGGGGTCTGATCTTTCGTTGAATTTGGATAGGGTAATGTGCTTGTAAGATGGTGGCCAAGGTGAGGTTTGGATTCCCTCGGAGAGTGGGGATTTTGAATCTATATCTCTATAGGATGGCGGCGAGTTGAACGGTGCGCCGAAGGTTGGCTGGGCCGCCATACCTGGCGAAGGGTTAGGCTAGCTTTGATCTGCTGACTGGAGCTGGTTGGAAATGTTAGTCTGGGCTGGCTTGGCTGCATACTCTGAATTTTTGTCTGTAGGACGGCCAACTATTGCCTAATCTCTGCTGCCTGTAATGATCTGTGCTACCCTCTAATTTGTGGTGAAGGTTGCTGCCAGCCTATCTCTTTCTTGTTGTGTATTCTGCAGCTGGGCTTGCAATTGATGGAGTACTTGCTCTAGGGTGGGATCTGAGGCTTGTTGATCTTCGGCTACCGGAGGCTGAGCTTCGACCATGGGTTCTTCCACAACCTGGTCCTCTGGGGCACTGGCGTAAGTGTTGCGGGTATTACGCCTGAGTCGTCCCCTTGTCGAAGGCTCCGTAGGTGTTCTGGTGCGGGCTGCTCTTTTTCTCGGCATCATGGGTTTTGCTTGACCAATGCGCGTTGGGCGCTAATGTTGGGAAGTAGCGCTTTCCAGCAAGTAGTATGGAGTGAGCCTCCACCCGGTCGGATGCCCCAAGCGAAGGTAGAGAAAGAAGTAGGTGGGTCCTAGCTCAATTAGGGTTTCATAAATGCACTCACCAACCACCCCCCAAAAAGTTTCAGCTCTCCCCTTTTATAGGGCACTATTCACTACTTTTCCCTTTTACATATTTGTCCTACAACTACTACGGTACATTCCCTGAATATCCTCTTGTTAGTGCAGGTGGCCCGGGGCAAACTGGACCTTTCTTTCTTCACACCGCGTTGTCTCCATGGGCCTGAATTGCCGGCCCAAAGGGAAGCCCATTCCTGGCCCGAGGTTGCCTCCGCGCCATGAACCCTCCTGCTGTGGTGGAGCTAGCTTCCGCCTCCGCCCATAGCACTGTGGCCTCTTGCTCGTGGTACCGCGGCCTCCGCCTTCACCAAGCGACCACCGCCCGCCTTCGCCGAGCGACCTTCACCTGCCTTCACCGGGTGACCTCCAGCCTTCGCCTCACGTGGCCATCAGTGCGGAGGCCTTCTTATAACTTTCCTACACATCATCGAAAAACTGGTTCTCTTGTTAGTCTTCGCTGTCTCCAGACTCTATGGCCTCCGTGGCTCGTGGTCATTCCCCAAAAGTAAGCAACAAAATTTCCATCAGAAAAAGAAAAAAGGACTTTTTAAAGTTGAAGTGAGGACAATTGCCTTCAATTTTGGATAATCATATGAAAAAACAACTACTCAAACTACATACTTGTATTAGTATACTTGATTGTTGAATTCCTCTTCTGTTGGAGAAAGTACTTTGCTTTTCGTATACTCTGTAATATGAAATTTTGACTTACAACATATATAAAAGTATATTATATTAGAAACAAAGAGCCATGCATATGTCATTATAACTATATTTTACAATGAAACAAGTAAGGCAAAATTGGCCAACGGACACTAAAAGTGGAGGTCATTTGCTGGCGGACACTTAAAGTGGAGCCATTTGCTGAAAGACACTCTAGTTATTGACAATTATGCTGCTAGACACCGCACCCCTTATTTTATTCATTTCCACTGGTTGAGGAGAGAAAAATGTGGAGAAATGTCATTCTTGCCCCTACCTCTTTCTTCATCCTCTCTCTCGCATTCTTTTTTTTCCTGTGGCGGCGGAGCGGCTGGGCGAGCAGGCAGGGGGCGGCGGCGGGCAGTTCCTGCTGCGTGGGGGCGCACCGACGGCGGGGCTTCTTCGGAGGTGGCTGGCTGCGCGGCCTAGGAGCCGGAGCTGGCGCTCTCCTCACGCTGCCTTCGCGCGCGCTTCCGCACCATGCCGTGTCCGTCTAGATCTTGGCCAGCCCGTGGGGATCTTCCGCGCCATGGCCTGGAGCTGAGCAGTGGGACGCTGACCGACGGTGGCAGGTGCGATAAAACGGTATCGAGGGCGCTAGTGCCCATGGAGGAGAGCAGTAGTGACATGGCCGCCATCGCTCGTTGGCAGGGTCGCAGGGACAGGGCAGCCTCTTGGCCATGGGCGTCTGGCTGCTAACACCTGGTATGCCGTGGAAGGAGAAAAGAAAGAAGCAGCTGCAGGGTCCAGCGTCGTCGCCGACGTCAACTCCGTCAAGCTCACCAATACGCTGCACAGGAAGTTCGGCCTGCAGAGAATGTGCAGGTCGCCGAAGCCAAGAAGGAGGAGGGCGACAACAAGCCTCTGGCCCCTGCCGCCGCCGTTGCAGCATTGCCCCACTTAGTCCCGTCGAGCCCATGGTATTACCAGCAGTACCCGCAGTCGTCGGCCCTGGTCTACGAGCATCTCGCGGCCAGGTACGCGTAGGGATACCATATGCAAACTGACATTAAAAAAAGGAAAGGGAGAGAGGAAGAAGAAAGAGGCAGGGGGCAAGATTGTCATTTCCCCACCTTTCTCTCTCCTCAACCAGTGGAAATAAATAAAATAAGGGGCGTAGTGTCTAGTAGCATAATTGTCAATAACGAGAGTGTCTTTCAGCAAATGGCTCTACTTTGGGTGTCCGCCAGTAAACGACCTCCACTTTTAGTGTCCTCTGGCCAGTTTTGCCAACAAGTAAATATTGACATTTGTCAATCTATAAATTCAAGATATTTATATACTTATGGTAAAAAGTTTGACTTAAAACCTAGATTGACTTGAGGAAGTAGTTTTATGGTGTTCTCACTTAAGTGTCCCGATAAAATTGTAGTGCTCTTGCCTTTGCCAAAACTTTCTCCTCTTGATAATTTTCCTGTCTATTTTTTTTTAAAATCCTAGTATTCATCTTATAAGGGATTGAATGTAAAGTATGTTGATTACTATTGTGGAAACAACTAGTATTAGCTCCATTGTTCTGTCTAGATTCCTTTACACTTTTGGATGCAATATCGAGCTCCATTGAACTGAGTTTCTTTTTGGGAAAATCACAGGTAAAAATAATTCAGAGGGCAAGCTTTTTGGAATCATATTGCCTATAGTGTTTGTTGTTGTAGTAACTGCCATAGCCCTCTATGTTTGTAAAAAGAGAAGATCTCAAAGAATAAAGCTACCCCATGGAAGTAAGTCCTATATACTGCTTGGTATGACCCTATAATAACTTTTATTATTTAGCACTGACAATTGAAATGACGCAAATTTACCAGCTCATACGGTTGAGGACTTCGGAAGCATCAAGTCAACATTATTATCATTATCATCACTACAAGTTGCAACAAATAACTTTGATGAAAGCAATAAACTTGGTGAAGGGGGATTCGGTGTAGTTTATAAGGTATGATGACACCCTTTCAATACTTTCTCATGTGCAAGTTTGTAGCAAGCTTTTATGTAAAAGAATATGCATGATTACTGGACAACATACATCAATTGGTTTATACAAAGGATTGTTAGAGTATGACTATAAAGCATCAACTTAGAACTCAAGTTCATTAAAAAGTAATCGTACTCAATTATTGTGAATTGTAATACATGAAGCTTTTAGAACTTTTTAGCATTTATATTGTATTGTTTAATCAACTTCATGGAAGATAATAATTTTTTGTAGGGAGATCTTTCCGGACAGGAAGTGGCTGTGAAGAGGATGTCAAAGGGTTCGGGTCAGGGGCTAGAAGAACTAAAAAACGAACTAGTTCTGGTTGCCAAACTTCACCACAAGAACCTCGTTCGCCTAGAAGGTTTCTGCTTAGAAGAGGGAGAAAGATTGCTTGTCTATGAGTACATGCCCAACAAAAGCCTCGATACTATTCTTTTTTGGTACTAAAATAATCTTTACAAAAGAATTTATAATTTTTTAGCATCTCTACTTGTGCTATAACGTCAAAATTTTGATTGTTTGTTAGACCCTGAGGAAAAAATACAACTAGATTGGAGGAAACGGTTCAATATAATAGAAGGAGTTGCTAGAGGATTACAATATCTCCACGAGGAATCTCAAAAGAAGATAATCCATCGCGACATGAAAGCGAGCAATGTTTTGTTGGATGCAGACATGAACCCTAAGATTGGAGACTTTGGCCTAGCTAGGCTCTTTGGGCAAGATCAGACTAGAGATGTCACAAAACACATTGTTGGGACATTGTAATCAATCTTTATTATCTAGTAGCTATTATTTAAGTCTCCCTTTTCTGACACATAATTCTCTCTAACTAACCATGTCGCTAATTCTTCTCGTCGCAGTGGCTACATGTCTCTGAGTACGTGATGCGTGGGCAGTTTTCCACAAAATCAGATGTGTTCAGTTTGGGATCCTTGTTATAGAGATCGTAACAGGGCGGAGAAACACAGGGCATTACTTCTATGATGAGCAAAATGAAGATATTATAAGCCTTGTGAGTTCCAACAAACACACACTATATATATATATACATGTAATAGTACATGTATGTTGCTAGATTATATTGTTTCTCATTGTGAACCGATGAAACCGATGCTAGGTATGGAGGCACTGGACCGAGGGAACAATTGCAGAGATGATAGATGATTCTCTGGGGAGAAATTACTCAGAGACCGAGGTGCTAAAATGCGTTAACATTGGTTTGTTGTGCCTTCAGCAGAGTCCCATGGACCGACCTACGATGTCTGATGTCATGGTGATGCTCAGTGGTGATGATGATACTAGTTCTCTACCACCTGCTGCGAGACCCACATTTTTCTTGGATAGAAGCACAGGTTACTCCTATAATTCATGTACTATTACGCATCTGTCTGCCAGATAGCACATGCGTTTGTGGATCGTAGCACATTGTTACTTGTTTACTTCTTGATGTATAGTAGTTCAGATCAACTAGTTCAATTCATCACAAAGTGTGATCTGTAGTTACCAATTGTAATTGTGGTTACAAAAAAGTTTGGCCATTCTAACACCAATCTCACACAGATCTTTCTCAGCCACCCAACCTTTTCAATTTGATGGCTATCTTCCTCTATTGAAGCAAAGTAGAAGGCAGTAGGCATCATCCAAATGGGGAAATTTTAACTGTGCTTGCAAATATGTGATCACAGATTATTCCCTCTCACGTCTTCTCACAAGTTGCGTTCCGTTCGGTTCTGGGGGACTTTCCATCCAAAAGGAAAAACTAAAAAGATTTGGCCGCCCATGCGGGGGGATTAGAGACGCGATTCCGCTGCCAAAGGGGAAGAAACGCTGTAGCCTGTGAGTAGCATCCAATTGCAAACACAAGGCAGTGCAGTGTGCAGTGTGCGGTGTGCTGCAGCCTGCTTGTGTCTGGCGTCAAGTACGTATCGTGTTCGCAGGTGCTCAGGTTGCGTCGCGTCGCGGGAATGCATGCGCGCCTTGATCGGGTCCGCAGTCCCTATTGACGCCGCCGCGCGCCGTGTTGATCGTCCGCTGCCCCGCCCAACCCAAGGGGCTCGTGTTCAAGGTGACGATTCGAAGATGGCGCGGACTTGAGTCTTGAGGTACGGTGTGTGGGTGTGGACCTTCAACTCTGAACATAGTACTCTACTGCAAAGTCCGTCCGCAACGACATTATTTACAAGAATTAGTACGTGTATACAGACAAGCAGTTGCAACGACTTAACCTCTCGTTGTTTTGTGCGACCTCAGCTTGTTCGTCTGATATTAGAACCGATTGATAAGTCGATTAAAGCTGTTTTGTTGTGAGAGAAAAATACTATAAATTAGCTAATAAGCTAGCTGAAGCGAACAGGCCAGAAGAAACCACCACTCACCAGCCGCGCCGCTGTCTTCTCTTCCGGCAAGCTATACCCCTTTTTTAATGTCCGTGATATCAGCTTCAAGTGCAGCTCTTCTGGTCACTAGAGACTGGACCAAAATATCAGTACTACCAAGTTGAAACACGTGCATGCAGATGCAGCTGCTCTGGTCAGGTTTCTACGAAACTGGGCAAGCAACTTGCAGCTCCTCTTTCCGTCAGCTTTTGCCTTTTGGAATTCGCTTCCATTTCATCGTCGTCCTCCAACTTCCAAAGAGAACGCATCGGCAAGAGTCGCCAGCAAGTCGCTGTTATATGGAGGGAGACCCACCCAGCTGCCTGCTATCATATATACTAGTACCGGCTACCGATGCCACTGCCACGCATGCATCCCTGATGGTGCATTTATCCTCTCTGAGCTCCTCTCCGTGCCAAGTTTCTCTGCATCCAACGATCCAGCTCACCGGTTCTCCCTCCTTCGCGTGCGCTATGCACGGCCGCGCCCTTCGCACCCCGCCCTGCTAGCAGCAGCGCTGCTGGCGTCGGCCGTCACGCTCACGCTTCTCCCCTCCGCCGCCGCGCAGCCGTGGGTTGCCCCGTGGCCGAAGTGCAACGACACCACGGGCAACTACTCGGCCGGCAGCGCCTACGCCAACAGCATCAAGCAGCTCATCCACAACCTCCAGACGAACGCGTCCAACACGCCCGCCCTCTTCGCGACGGGCTCCGCCGGCGCAGGACCGGACACCGTCTACGGGCTCATACTCTGCCGCGGCGACCTCAGCCCCACCGACTGCTTCGACTGCGGCACCAAAGCCGGCCAGGACGTGTACCGGGTCTGCAACCACACGCGGGACGCGGCGCTCGTCTACAACCAGTGCTACGTCCGCCTCGCCCCGACGGACTTCCTCGCCTCCATCAACAACACCGGCATGGTGGGCCTCATCAGCGGCGAAAGCGTCCCCGCAGGCGTCGACGTCGCGGCCTACGACGGCGCTGTCACCAGGCTGCTCAACGCCACCGTGCGGTATGCGGTGGACAGCTCGGCCCCGTCGTCGTCCCTGAGGAAGTACTTCGCCACGGGGCAGATGGTGGGGCTCGACCCGCAGCTGCAGCTCCGGACGGGCATCTGGTCCATGGCGCAGTGCGCGGGGGACATATCGCCGGCGCAGTGCCGGAGCTGCCTGGACGACTTGCTGGCGCAGTGGTGGGAAGAGTTCGACCGCAACGAGACCGGCGCCAGGCTCGACGGTTCGCGATGCAACCTGAGGTTTGAAACGGGGAACTTCTACACCGGCGTCCCGATGGTGAAGCTGCAGATGAACGGCGAGGGGGCCGCTCCAGCGCCGGCGCCTTCGACGGATGTTGTAGCTGGCACCACCGCAGGTGAGTGCTTAATTGCTTATTCCTCTAGATTAACTCGATTACTTAATTCTCACCAATATTTTACATAAATAAATAATAACTCCTAATTATCCACCTTACCATTATGAAAGATAATTCAAAATAAACCTCCTAAATTTGCACCAAAATTACCTACCTCTTCTATTATGAAAAATAATTCAAAATAATCCTGGATATTTTTATAAATTACCTCTGATATCTTTCATAATGGCATAAGTGGGTAATTTAGATATAAATTTAGGGTGTTAGATATGGGCAATTTAGATGTTACTTTATGTATTTTTATAGTGATGACAGAGATGTGTAATTTTTAATACAACAGGATAGGTCCAATGGCTCTATTGTTTGGGATGATGATTAGTGTACAAATTAAACGTTAGATGCTTTCGATTATTGTGAGATCTCTGGGATGTATCTTTTTCCCATGACACTAACGTGGAGGCTCTGGTCGAGCATAAAATTAGTAATAGTAAGATTGAACAACATCAATCACAATGGTGAGCATGACAAAAGGAAGTTGACACATCAATTGCTAGACAAACCTAAATTGAATTTTTCTTTTTTGGCAAAATCACAGGTAAAAAAAATTCAGTTGGCAAACTTCTCAGAATTATATTGCCAATAGTATCTGTTGCTGTAATAGCTGTCGTAGTCCTCTCCATATGGATTGTTTGTAAGAAGAGAACATCTCAAGGAACAAATATTCCCCACCAAAGTAAGTCCTTTGTATAGTTTGGTATCAAGTATATTACCTTTTGGTCTTTAAGCATTCAAAACTAAATCGGTGCAAATTTACTAGCTTATATGGCTGAGGACTTCGAAAGCATCAAGTCGATATTGTTATCGCTGTCATCGCTACAAGTAGCAACAAATAACTTTGATGAAAGCAATAAACTAGGTGAAGGGGGATTCGGTGCAGTTTACAAGGTATGATGACACCCTCTTCATTAATAGTTCCTTTACAAGTTTGTAGCAAGATTTATGTAAAAGAGTCCGTGTGATTGCTGTACAATGTACATGAGATAGTTGGTTCATACCAAATTGTCAAAATTTGAAACAAACAAATGTATAAATCATGGGCTTTGTACTCATGTTTTTCTAAAAAAAATTATATCAAGTATTATGACTTATAATACTTAAAACTTTTGGAACATTTTAGCATTTTATATTATGTTCATTTAATTAACTCATGGCGATAATAAAATCTACGTAGGGACATCTTTCCGGACGGGAAGTGGCTGTGAAGAGGCTGTCAAAGGGTTCAGACCAAGGACTAGAAGAACTAAAAAATGAGCTAGTTTTGGTGGCCAAACTTCATCACAAGAACCTTGTTCTCTTTGGAGGGTTTCTGCTTAGAAGAGGAGAGAGGTTGCTCGTCTATGAGTACATGCCCAACAAAAGCCTCGACAATATTCTTTTTGGTACTAGAAATAATCTTCCCAAAGAATATACACAACATTTTTGTACTTGTAGTAATCTTAAATTTTGGTTGCCATTTAGATCACGAGGAGAAAAGACGACTAGATTGGAGGAATCGATTCAACATAATAGAAGGAGTTGCACGTGGATTGCAATATCTTCATGAAGACTCTCAAAAGAAGATAGTCCACCGTGACTTGAAAGCGAGCAACATTTTGTTGGATTCACACATGAACCCTAAGATTGGTGACTTTGGCCTAGCCAGGCTCTTTGGGCAAGATCAGACTCGAGACGTCACAAACAACATCGTCGGGACATTGTAATCAATCATTATCATCTAGTAGTTAATCGTTCAATGTTTGATTTAAATACATAATGCAATCTAATTGACCATGTTGCTAATTCTTCTTGTTGCAGTGGCTACATGTCTCCCGAGTACGTGATGCGTGGACAATACTCCACAAAATCAGATGTATTTAGTTTCGGCATCCTTGTTATAGAGATTGTAACAGGACAGAAAAACGCTGGGCATTACATCGACGAGCAAAATGAGGATATTATAAGCATTGTGAGTGTTTGCCCATAAACACACTATCCTGCCTGTAAGACTACTTGCAAAATTCTAGATTATATTGTTGCTGATTGTGAACACATGAAATCAATGCTAGGTATGGAAGCACTGGACGGAGGGAACGCTTGTAGAGATTATAGATGATTCTCTAGGGAGAAACTACTCGGAGACTGAGGTGCTAAAATGCGTTAACATTGGCCTGTGGTGCCTTCAACAGAATCCCATGGATCGACCTACGATGTCGGATGTCATGGTGATGCTCAATGATGTTGATACTAGTTCTCTGCCTGCTGCTGCAAGGCCAACTTTTTTCTTAGATGCAAGCTCTGGTTACTCTTACACTTCAGGTACTATTTCACACCCTTCTGCCAGGTAGTGTAGGCTGAGGCCTAATGCACACCTATTGCTTGTTGTATATTAGTTGCAAAATAAACATGGAATTCACCATGATTTGTAATGTGCTCACTAATCACTATAGTTTCTTACTAAATTCTCAATTATAAAGTTTCTCTTACTAGAGGCCCCGCGGGCTTTCAAAAAAGTATGGAAATGCTTACTCATTGGAAAATTGGAAAAGGTTGTGCTCACTATATATATATCCTTCTCTCCCAACTATTCCCATTGTTTTCTTGAGTGATTATTTGAGAAATTATGCTCTATGGTGAATGAAAAATGTTGTGAGCAAGATCTCGATCATTGAGCACTTGTTACTTTGTTAATTAAGACACTGAATTTGTTACCCTTAGAGCTTGGCTCCTAGATGGCTAGGCATCTCCCATTAAAGCACCAAGCTCTCAGAGAGTGATTAGGAAATTTTGTACTTTATACGACAAATCTAGCAAAACCCTCAAACCCGATCTTTGTCAATCACTCGAAGAAGAGATAGGGTTGGATGGAACCTAATAATTCTTCTTTATTTTGTCTCAAAAGAAACGTTGTTTCATCATGTATTCCTATATGTAAGTTATTCTTTATTCATATATTCTCTTTTGGTAAGAGAGATAAGGGAACTATGTTTCTCACTAGATATATGCCCGTGCGTTGCACGAGGCAACAAATTTGTATCCATTTGTACAATTATACACGTGTCTTATGGTTTAGACAAACATACTAACAATTTTTCATCCATGTCTATGACGATGCATATGGCTTGTGGTTTAGATGAACATATAAAGAAATATACAAATTTGATTACATAAAACATATTTCATGATCTTTATGACATATATCGTGTAGATCTGGTTTATAGAAACCTAACAAAATTTGTTTCATTTTTAATTATCATTTCTGTGTTTTATTATTATACATTTTCAAAATTTAATAAAATCTAATAAACACTTTTTGCATTGGAACCCTAAACGGTTTCTAAATTCATCTGGTTTTCCTTCTTCTATGTGGATGTGGTAGACTAACGGGCTAAGTTGTTACGTGCGGGCATCCGGTGAATCACCACGCAACGGAGTCGTCTGTTACGTGTGGGCAGAAGGTCTATCCGTTCGGGCCACGGGCCATGGCATGTCGTTCCTTCGTTCCTGCTCTCGCACGAGGGCGAGCGGGTTGTAGACGCGCGGCCGCACGCGCACGAGGCAAGCGGGGCGCAGAGGCGCGGGCACACGCGCACGGGCGGGCGAGCATTGGCAGGTGCCCACCGCCGGCGGCATAGGCTGGAGCTAGGGCGCGCACGGGGCGAAGCGGAGCACACGATGAGCACGTCGCAGAGCGCGGCAAGCCCGCGGCCACCGCTAGCATGTACTGTAGCATCACGTCGCCCGAGTCCATGGCGTGACGCGTGCTCCCGCGTATGCCGGGACTACGCACGGTAGTAGGCAGTAGGTCGCAGGTGTCCGCCGCCGCCAACGTAGGCTGTAGCTAGGGCGCACGCGTGGGCGTGTTTTTTTTTTGCTGGGAGGTGGGCCTCGACGGGCGGGGCGAGGCGGGAGCGTGCAGGATTCACGTACTGGACCGTGCGTGATCTTTTTTATTGTGGTAAAGCCCTTGCTGAATTTCTCTGTTTGAATATGTGCCTGATCTGTTTCATCAGCATGTAATTAGTTCTTTATATGATTTTCGTTGTGGAAGAGTTTTGAAGACGTTTTTTTTGCCATATATGATTTTCGACGTGGAAGAGTTTGTTACGGAAACATGTTTTTTTTGTGGTATATGTTTTTTTTCAGAGAGTTTTTTTTTTGTCGTATAGGATTTTTTTTGGAAACGGGACTGTGGTTTTTTTTGCCGTATATATATTTTTACCGTATATAGGCTGGGGCGGAGTGACAGACGATAGCCAATGGAATATTTTAAGTGGTATAGTAGATTGGGACGCATACAAAGTTTAGCTCTTCTCTTCCTATACTATAGCTCAAAAAGTTCTGTCCTGAACGAAACCGAGATGCCGGCTGCATAGTTTGACCTTCCTTGTCTTTGATTTAAATATATATAAACGTGACATATAACAGCTAGCTGTAGCCGTCGAGCGCTTCTACATGTATGATTGCATTATTGCTCTCACGCGGTGTACTCGCCCGACGATGTGATGCTAGCTGGAGGTGGCCGGCGCCCTGTTCCTGGCGTAGAACGCCGGGTTGGACGGGTTCCAAAGGGAGACCGTGTCGCTACCGAGCTCATGACGACGGACGACATCACCGGCCGGTCTGCCGGGTCTTCCTGGACGCATAGCAGACCAATGTGGATGCACCTTAGCACGTCGCTCCGGGAGAAGCAGCTTCCCAGGCACGGGTCTACGATGGCCTCCGACACCACCCCGGCCGTCCAGTGGTCCCATACCTGCACCATGCATGCATGTGTGCATCGATCGAGGATGCATGGTTTAGTCAAGGGTAAAGACATCTCAGCAAGAAAGAACACGAAAGGGTTATGTTACGAACACTTGAGCAGGAAGGAAGCACTCACGAGGCTCAAGAGATCGTCTTCAGGCGATCGCCAGGCGTCGTCCCGGCAGACGTTGTGCTTCTTTCCCGTCACGATCTCAAGGACCATGACGCCGAAGCTGAACACGTCTGACTTGACGGAGTAGTTCCCGCGCATCACGTACTCCGGCGCCATGTAACCGCTGTAATGGATGGGAATAGACATCCAAAATCTAGTCAAGATCGTCGTCCCTGGATCTGGTCACCTGCCTATTAATTCGAGGAGCTTCTAGGTGGCGGAGACGGCACTCACTAGGTACCAACGACATGATTGGTGACACCCTGCGTCTGGTCTCGTCTGAAAAGCCTCGCAAGGCCGAAGTCCGAAATCTTGGGGTTCATGTTCATGTCCAGCAAGATGTTGCTCGCTTTCAGATCACGGTGGACTACTTTGAGCTGAGAGTCTTCGTGCAGATACTGCAGGCCCCGAGCTATCCCGTGTATGATGTTGCACCTCATTGCCCAGTCCAGCTGTTCACGCTTCTCAGTGTCTGCCCAAAGTAAGGAAATTAAAAGCAGGAGCGAATCATCAAGTTTTAATGTCAGATTTTACAGAGGAAGATCGAAGATATGGAGGATGACGATGATCGAATTCGATTGAATTACTCTAAGCAGGCAGTACCGAAGAGTATCTGATCAAGGCTGCGGTTGGGAACAAACTCGTAGACGAGCAACCTCTCCTGCTGTTCCAGGCAGACGCCGACTAGACTGACGAGATTCTTGTGCTGAAGCTTGGCAACCAGGGCGAGCTCATTCTTCAGCTCTCCGATCCCTTGTGCTGATCGCCTTGATAGCCTCTTCACTGCTATTTCATTACCGTCCGGGAGAGTACCCTACGCCAGTCAAACCAATAATAATGCGAGCTTAGTTGTTGGCAATGACAACTTCAATGGAATATATATATGGCTTAGCTCAATCAAGCTCTGATATATATTGGCAAGTTTATACTTTGTACACTGCACCAAACCCGCCTTCGCCGAGCTTGTTACTGTCGTCGAAATCCCCGGTCGCAGCTCGCAGGGTGGAGATGTCAATGATCATCGATTCTATGCTCTCCATGCCTTCTGTTTCAGTGGAATGAGTGGGATCTGTTCAAATATCCAAGAGTGAGCAAGCCGATTGCCTTTACTTTCATCATGTTAATTACTTGAAGCTGCGACCTATATATGGCAGACGAGAGGGAATAATTCGGCACTACATACTTGATTGGGTTCCTCCTGTTTGTGGTCTCCTCCTCCTCCACAAACAAAGCCAGATGAGCAGGTTAATGACCAGCAAAGCTGCTATGGTCGGCAGCAGTATTACAAGTACGGTGCCGGGGACGCTATACTTCCTCCCTGCCAGTGTTAAAGGGCATTTTTGTAAAAAGAACTCTATGTCTATAAATTTGGAAGGATATAAAGAGTCTCTTGGAGTTGCTCTAAGTATCAGTGTTACGAACCTAAACTGATGTTATTTTTTTTAGAATCTAATACACTATGCAAGGCAGGATGTGTATACTATGAATCTATGATGAGCAATGAATTAGATCAATACAAAACATGAATTATTTTTGGCGTCAATTATACTAATAACTTAGTATATATAGCCCCGATTGCCATTGGTTGCTATGACTATTTAAATCTGTGAATCAGTATAGCATTTGAGTGAGATGTTGTGTAGCTACACTCCTTTGAAAAGAATTTATGGAAAACATTGACTATCAAAAATGTTTTTCTTTAATAACCACAACTGTTTATTTAATTGTTCCACAAGACAAAACAACAGCTCCAAATATGTCGTCGTCCTCTCCTTCATTTTCGTGTGCCTTCGGTCAAGTGGCGATGATAGTGCACGTTGGGACAGGCCAAGCAAATGGAACAAACGTGTCGTCCTCTCTCTCTCTCTCTCTCTCTCTCATATTTTTAATTCCAATACATCCCACATGGTCCAACATGTGCCTCACCTATGTAAACATATCACTTAGGAGTATCACTAAAAACAACTAGCCATAATTTGAGTATCTTTACTAAGTCGAAGACCTAAACTAGAGTACACAGATTCTACCATAATGAGACTAGCTAACTATCAGCGGAGCTATGCTCATTTCACTCCCTCCCTCCTCAACTAATCATCATATTGAACGCCTAAATATGTTTTGTATAATTTTCTTCTGATAAATCATACAATTTTCTAGCCGAAAGACCCACAGGCATTGTACCAATGTCACTATCCTAGGGATGACAGGGGCGCAAGATAACATACAAAAACGTACACCCTCCATTTCAAGTTATAGTTTAGTTTAGTTTAGTCCTAATGAGTCAAACTTTTATTTGACCAATTTAATAGAAAAATACACAAACATCTACAATGGCAAATTTATTTAATTAAATTCATTATGAAAATATATTGAAAGTTTATTTATTTAAACTTGTAGATGTTAATACACATTTTCTATAAAATTTCTATAATATAAGTTATAATTTAGAACGGAGTAGTAGTAGTCAAAGGGTACGAGGGTGGCAGCGTTGAGGTCTTAGGCTAGGTATGGTGGGAGTGAGTAGGTTATTATTAGTAGATCTTCGTATAATTTCGTGGAATCATCTGAATGTTGGATTTAGAATCAAGGGCCAAAAGGAAATAAATCATTTCAGCTAGGACAATGATCATATGCGAGTTATTTCTTATTGATGAGATATCCTCATTTACTCTCAAGGACAACATACTGCAATGTTCACTAAAAAAATATAAAACATTAGATTAAATAAAATAGTTCAAATTTGTGGATTTCTAAAATTCGGAATACTTTTTTCTAAAAAAACAGTTTGACTTCAATATGATAAAAAATATCTAAATAAATAACCATTACAAAATATAATATAGAATAGCTAAAATATGGACTAAGATTAAAAAACGAAGTCCATATCAAAACAAATCTTAAAAATTGAAATTCAGAAAGAAATAAGTTTTAAACTTTATTCCCATATGAATTCAAAAGTAAAATATCTTAACAAAAGCATACACTAAATAAAAAATCATAAGTAACTAATAGATATATAAAATCACTTCCTTTATTAAGAGAATCTCCAGCAGTTTGATATAATTTACTCGCTAAACTAATAGATCTAGCAAGAAATAAAAATATTAAATTTTGTCTTTCTCCAACAATCTCTTATAATAGGTTCCTAAACGATTTTGCATTGGAAGCCTTGAACTATTTTTAACTAACCAAACCTTTTTTAATAGTTTCTTTGTCTCACTGCTTTCTTATCTAGAATTCTTTATTTTCTTAATTTACACGCATGTCCAATTTACTCTGATCTCCTGATAAAAACGCCGCATGGGGAGTGGATATGGGGTTCCTTTCGACTGCGAAAACTTACGAGTTGAAGAGGATATTTGGCAAGTTCTCATTTTTAAGGAGCTATTTTACCAACTGTTGGAGGACATTTTTTCTCTTTTGCAAAAAATGTCAAAATAGGGAGTTGTTTTACAAAACTCTTGCAGATGCTCTGAGCGTGTTTGCTTGCTGCTTTACGGAACTCGCATGGCAAGGAGGTGTCTCTAGACACTTGATTTTGAGTGTCTAGGGTTGGATCAAGCTGCCTAGTCAGAGGCACCCAGCCCAAGGTCAGGGCAGCGATCAAACATCGCTCCATATCTTCTCTAAACTTTGAGCAGTTAGCATCTATTTTTGTTGATTGTTCTTGTGGGTTTTATGCCGTTGATCATTTGTGAGATGTAGTGTCATGATTTATTTTAGCTAAGCCTGATAGTCACTGAAATTTTGTACTCCCTTTATCCTAAAATGTAAGATGTTTTGACTTTTCTAAATATATAGTAACACTTAGCTATACACTTATGTCTAGATATAGGTAGCAAAGACAAGACACCCAAGAGTTAAGCTTTGTCTATGGTAAATTGGTAATCCTCGTTCTTTACCCCCTGGAGTCCCACACGAGGTAGCAGGCAAGCGGTCAATACTCACCTCCTCCAGCTGCCGAAGGCGTCACACTCGTGGGCCCCATCGCCGGTGTTGGGGATCCCGAGTTCCCTGACTCCGCCGCCAACTGCACCATCACCGGGCTGTTGAGGAAGGAGTACACCTCGTACCGGTAACTGCACCTGATCCCGAGAACCCTGCCGCCAACGCGGTCCGTGAACAGCCTCGGCATCTTGGCGATGATGCCGGCGTGTCTGAGGTACGGTACTTCTCAAACTCTATATACAGTTCCTCTTTGGAAGTTGGAGGACGACTTGCTGGCGACTCATGCCGATGCGTTCTCTTTGGAAGTTGGAGGACGGCGATGAAATGGAAGCGAATTCCAAAAGGCAAAAGCTGACGGAAAGAGGAGCTGCAAGTTGCTTGCCCAGTTTCGCAGAAACCTGACCAGAGCAGCTGCATCTGCATGCACGTGTTTCAGCTTGGTAGTACTGATATTTGTTCCAGTCTCTAGTGACCAGAAGAGCTGCACTTGAAGCTGCTATCACGGACGTTAAAAAAGGGGTATAGCTTGCCGGAAGAGAAGACAGCGGCGCGGCTGGTGAGTGGTGGTTTCTTCGGTCGCGGAGACTGCTGCAGGTCGCACAAAACAAAGAGAGGTCAAGTCGTTGCAACTGCTTGTCTGTATACACGTACTAATTCTTGTAAATAATGTCGTTGCGGACGGACTTTGTGTTGTGATCGAAAAGATCGCGTAGGGTTAGGTCTAGCGGGTTCTCTTTACTGTGAATGTGATATCAAAAGTAGAGAGATAGAGAGAAATAGAAGAAGAACATGTCGAACCTGACACCACAGAGTGAGATGGTCCAGAAGCCGCCATCTCGTTCGTTGGTGAAGTCTGCGCACGGACAACGACGTTCGGGGAAGAGATCAATGAAGTCGTCGACGTCGGTGGAGCGGGGCGGCGCGGCTGGTGGCTTCTCGTCACTAGCTGCGTCCCTCTCTGATCGGGATTAGGGTTTAGGTTTCGGTGGAGAGCTCGGCTCACGGTAAATCTTGTACTCAGAGCCGCCGGCCCCCACCTCTATATATAGTGCAATGTGACAGGAGCCCTCCAGCCATAGTGGGCTGGGCGCCCCCGATCAGGGCGCAGATAAAAACTCAACTGGGTCGTTGGGCCTAGTTTGTGATTAGAGATCAATCTAACAATCTCCCCCTTGATCTCCTACCATCTTTCAATTTCATATCATTTATTTTTATCCATTTAATTACAGATTAGCGTATAGAGCACGTTTCATCGTCACGGTCAATTGCCGATAGATTTAACAACTACAACACACCACTCTGTTCTGAAATAGATACTTAACTTTGTGCCTTCTTTTATCCAGGAATTATAGGCTTTCCCTTAAACCCATGCCGGCTACATGTTCTCTGAACACGTTGGGTGGTAAGCCTTTTATAAGTGGATCCGCGAGCATCTTTTCGGTACTTATATGCTCAAGACTTATGACATGATCCCGGACTTTATCTTTCACAACATAATATTTTATGTCAATGTGTTTGGCAACACCACTTGACTTATTGTTGTGAGCGTACTGTACTGCCGGATTATTATCGTAGTATAACTTAAGTGGTCTATAGATATCATCAACCACCTTCAAACCGGGTATGAATTTCTTTAGCCAGTTCACCTGCCCCGTTGCCTCATAACACGCTACAAACTCGGCATATATTGTGGACGATGTAGTGATAGTTTGCTTTGAGCTTTTTTATGAAATAGCTCCCCGTGCGAGAGTGAATACATATCCAAACGTGGATTTTCTATCATCTCCCGCATAATTAGAATATGAATATCTCACTATATGGAGTGAATCTGATCTTCTATACGTCATCATGAGGCTTTTTGTTCCT